GAGCTTTTCCTCTAAACCTCTGCTGCCCCTCTCTATTGCAACCAAGGTTCCTGAGCTGCATCTGACTCTATGGTGGTTTTCTTAGGAGTTGGATCAGTGTTGGACAAGTCTTTGGAACCAACTGAGAAATCAAGAGAGAATGGGAAACCAGGCTGGTTTGAACAGTGAACAAAAGCACCAATAAAGCATGTGGTATTTTATGTGAAATACGCTGATGGCCTCTGTCACTTCTGGATTAAAAAGGAATCAAATTCTTTGTTTGCTTCTACAAAATGGGCCTGATTGACCTTTTGCCTTTCTTGCCCCTGGTCTGTCCTGTTCACTTAGGAGGTCTTTTTATTATTGCTTTGTATTCACTCCCTGGAGCACGATACAAAGCTGATGTCCTGACTGACTTGCTGCTTGGTGGTCAAAAAAAGATCAGTGGGTGAATATTAAGGTAAGCATTCCTTACCTTACCAGGAGAACAATCCTGCTGTTGAATAGGGTGGTTTTCCTTCTCACTGAACTGAAACTTTCAGTGTGTTTGCTAGAAGTTGTCCACTTTCCCCCTCCCTGCATGCTTCAGCAGTACAGTAGTATCCCAAGCCTGATCAGGCAGGGGAGATGTGTTTGCATACAGGGAATGAAATGTGTCACCTATTGAGTGCCTATTTGAGCCCAGCATCAGCAGAGCTGCTAGTACAGACAGTTTCATCTAGTATCACCTAGTTCAAAACTGTCAGCACATGACTTTTCCCACTGTAATCCCTCCTCAGTCAATTAGATTTGACATTCTTCAGATCCTGACTGAAACACTTGGTTGGTGAGACGGAGTAGCTGCCACATCAGGTGAAGTGATTTACTGTGTGTGGTTCTGAGAAGACCTTGGCGACATTTCGTCTTAAAGGCACAGATGTTTCTACGTGCCTGGTCCTGTTGGTGTTTGTGTCAAGTCAGCTTGGATAAAGAAAACTTACTCCTGAGTTCCACATAAATGTTTCTGGGGACCAAATGTTTTGCTTTCAAGAAGACTCAAGTACCAGATGTTTAGCATATCTCAGGAGATGTTATCCTTGATTCTATTTACAGTTGTTTTGCTTATTCTTTCATCCCAAGTTAAGAACAGGAACACTGAGCTGTGTGTTGAATATTTACTGCACGTATTTGCAGCCACGTCTACACAGTATTAGTTTTTAAAATGTTTATGTTGTAGTAGCACATGGTAGGAGTCCCTTCTGCTTGGGGACTACACAGAATGACTTTCCCAGCCCTCCAGAAGCTGCTCCTCTTAAGGAGCACTTGAAGTTTTTTGCTGATTCGTGGTTCTTCTATATTAGCTTGTGGTCATGATGGAGCATCTTTATTTAGAGAGGAGCATAAATAGTAGTGTTCAGATCCTTACCTTCCCACCCCTTCACGGGAAGCACTGGCACCACATAGGCATATAGAATAGGCCTGCTGCCTAAAATGTGTTTGTCAGAACTCCTTGTTAAAGCACTGACAGTATTACTGCTGGATCTATCTCTGAGGTGGGAGGGACATCAAGCTGCAGTGAAGTAATTTACAGATCTGATGCAATCTCTGATTAATTTCTATGTTCCTCTGCACCCATGCAAGTTGAGCAGAGGTTAGGGTTGTAGCAGTAGATAAAACTCAGTCCAGAGTTTATAAAGCATTAGGATTCTTGGGGAAGAGATGCCCTATTAAGGGAAAACATTATCATGACAATTTATTATTAATAACAATGTAATTTCTGTCCTGTAATATTGAGTTTAAATTTGATCTAACAGCAGTGACTTTCAGCAGGACATGCTCCTGTACTCGGAAGGCAGATGACTTTGCGGCATATTAAATGTGAATTATGGTCATCTTACTGCAAAAGAAGTCAGATGAAGTGCTGTCTATCTTCAATCAGCAGGGCTAGCAAAGGCTGTGATGCCTTTTTTTACTTTTATTGGAAAGGCAGTCCAAAGAGCCTGCTGGCAATTGGCTGCATGTCATCTTTCTACTCGAGTGATGAAGGTATACCACAGAAAATGGCATCTAACTCTTCCATTGACCTTTTTCTCTCAGTACAGCAGACCTTTAGTGCCAGTATTATTTCTGTAAAATTCCTACAGAGATATTGGGCCTCTGAGACAGCTGAGTTAAAGAGCAGCGGTCAGGTTTAAAAACAAAGCTAATAAAAATAATAATAAAAAAGCAGAAAACCTCCCACCTCTTGTTTCCTTTCTGACCTTCAAATCAAAGGCGTGTTTTCATTTTCCCCCAATTTCTCTTTTCTGTGTGAAAGTAGCTACCAGTTCTGTTGTTACACTGGTAGGTGGGTTGGGAGCCCAGAATGGGCAAAACTTGGAATACTGGGGCAGTGAGCTTATGCTGCGGTGATGACACACCCAAATTTGCCTAGCCTAAAAACCAGCCAGTTGTGATGGAAATGGCTGTTTTAAACAGTGTTAGGTATGAAGATCCTACTGTTATCCTGTGTCCAGTCAGGTCAGTGTGTGTTGCTGCATTTCTTCCCTATATAAACAGAGTGCTTGGCCTTGGGGATCCCAAGATTTTGTCTCCAGACCAGTGTAGGCAACTGAAGTGGGTTGGGCTGAATCTCCTCAGGATGGCTGCGGGTGTAGCCTTGGGCCACTCAGCTGGAGGAGGGCACATGTGGAAAGCAGCATCTCGAGTTTGTAGGTTACTGTCTGCTGTCAAATTTTACTGTGCTCTGTAGGTGAGTTGGTTGAAACAAATGGCAGCCCAAGCTCTCAGCAGCTCTGCTTCTCCCTGTGATTTAAATAGCAAAATGTGCTGGAGCACAGACACCTTTCTTCCAGCTGCTTGACTGCTGGGGGCTTGGACCTTTGGCATGGTGAAGTGAAGAAAATGAGAGCAGTGCTGACCTCTGCCAGTGTTTGATTTGATCTGTCATGCTTTGTTAGGCAAAGCCCATAGTCAGGGGTGATACTTTGAAGAGAAATCTTTCTTTTAATAGATGTGTCAGGGCTGCTGTTTTTTGGGTTTTTTTTTTTTGCTTTTTTTTTGTTTATTTTATTTTTCCCATATCTTTGTGTAGGCAAATGCTTACGACCTCTATCATTTCAGTGTGCTTTGATCACTATTGTTGTGCTATTCTGCTCTTACATTCTGTTAGCAATGGTGGCAAAAGCAGCTTTTTTTCTTTTTTTTTACCATCTCTGGTGCTGGAAAAACTCATCTGTTCAAAGACTGGTGCACAGCAGGGCTGTTTCCAGCACAGGTCCTCCTAGGGCACCCTTGTCAGTGCTAACAGTGCCAGCATTAGCAGCACAATAATATCTTGATTTAGCGTTGCAAACAGATAAGAGGTAGAGTAGCACTCCAGGATGTAGCTTCTGGCATGGCTGAGGAAGACTTGACTAGTGTAAGCTAGGTAAAAAAGGGCTGGAAGTAGTAAAATATCTCCCATAATGAAACTGGCGTTGGTGCTGAAGGTGTAGACATGCGCGTCTAGGCTTGTGGCTGCGCTGGTGAGGATCCCGTTTTTCACTTGATGTCACAGTTTGTACAGTGAATATCACATAGACAATATCTTGTGCAGCTGGTTTTGTGTTTTTGTTTTTTTTTTTGGTTAAAATGGCACAGCTGTGCTGTTGCACAAACAGAAAATGTGCCACAGAACTTGATTCTATGAGAAGATGAGACAGTATTGATAAAAGGTGTGTTTATGCTGCTGGAGCTGTGCCCAGGTTAAGTATGGTAATTATTTAACTTGTAAAGTAAATCTGCTGGAGCTGTGCCCAGGTTAAGTATGGTAATTATTTAACTTGTAAAGTAAATAATAAAAAATAATAAAATAATTTACTTGTAAAGTAAATTATTGCACTCCTCTAACATGGGAAACATTAGAAGACATTTTATTGTTATTGTTGTTATTCTTTCTTGCATTGCTTTGTACCTTCATTCTTAACAGGCAGTGGCCACTGTTCATTCTTAACAGGCAGTGGCCACTGTGATGCCTGCTGCGGTACTGAGCTGTCTGATCCCTCTGTGACTTTGTCCTGTTGCTTGGTTTTATGGACTTGAGTTGCTGAGTTTTCAGTGGTGTAGGTAAAAGGAAGGACTTGCAAGCTGCTTCTGTTGTTCCAGATTTTGAAAGAATATTAAATAATAAATAAAGGAAGAATATGTAGATGAATGCAGAGAAGGGAAAATACGTTGAACAAATAAAATTACTGGATTTTTCAAGCTTCCCATAGTTGCCTCTTTTCTCTCTTTTGTTTGTTTTTTTTGTTCTTTTTCTTAAGCCCTCTCATGCCTGAGATTGACAGTAAGTGACGGGTTTTCTGTATGCTCCTGACGTGGATAGTTGAGCACAACCCTGGATAGAGGCAGGGTAAAAGCTCTGCAAGATGCTAGATACGTTGTTCTATCTGCTTTTGTTTGAAAACTAGGTAAATTGTGTTAGAGCATATTGCAGCTTTCTGTCCTTTTGGACGTGCAGTAGATTTTGCCCACTGTGCAATAATGATGGCAGAGCACCAAGGATGAAAATGGAGTAAAATTTCCGTGATAGCCAAGATGTATTTATCACAGGCCACTGCGGTGCAACAACCCCCTCCCCTGTTAATATCTGTTTGCCACAGCACTATTTTGAGTGGCTATGAATTGTTCTTGTTGCTTCAAACCACTGAAGCAGAAGTGTTTACCTCACTGCTTTTTGCTTATTTTCCATGTAACAAACTCTGGGCTCGTAAGAGTGAGCTGTCAAAGTCAGTGACTTCATTTGCAAGGTCAGCATGCATACATGTAACAAAACCACACTCCTTAAAAAAATTATTTCAAGTCTCAAATATTGATTTAAACAAATTTATTTAAATGGCTATATAATTAAAGAGGGACAATCCCTTGTGTAGGTTTCCTAAATTGATTTAAGGCGTGGTCTGCACATAGATTTTTGTACCAGTATAATTATGACTGCAAGGGCATGGTGTCTTTAATGCATTGTGTGGTCACCAGCTGGTGTGACTTGGCATGAGCGCCGTTCTGCCAGCACAGTGGCACGTGTGTGTGGTACAGGTTATTCCTGCTCCTGTGCAGGCATTAGCAGTCACTTGCATCTTTCGAGTGTTCAGCTGGCACAGGTGTTACAGGTATAGTCCAGCTCTAGGTGTATGGGTATAGCTGTGCTCTGCATAAAGATGGGCCATATATTCATTCAAGTGGTTTATGGTTGTGGACACTGTGAGGAATGTGATTCGGCTTTTGGGTCACTGTGAGTTTGGAGACCTTTGAACAAAAGTCTGTGCTTGCTCAGGAGCTGGCTATGCCAAAAATGTGGTGAAGAGCGGAGGAGGATGAACCTTGCTGCCCTGCTGGCCATGACCGCCTGTGTCAGGCAAGACTCATCCACTTGGCAGGTGTGAACGTAATTGTCCTTGAGCACTGTGAGGAAATAGACCAAAGTATCCTTTGTTTTAGCATAGCCAGGGCTAATGATGAAAGTTTGTTCTTTATCAGGCCAAACTCCTGAGTATGAGCATGGTGAAGAGCACAGAAAATGAGAACATGGTGTGAGGAACTTGCTTGGTAGTAAATGTAAGAGTAAACATAGTGATTTAACACAGGGAGTAAAATTGCTTCTGTCATTTGCTGCTGTGCTAGAGTTTATCTCAGGGTGAAAACTGGTGCCTTCAATTCCATCACAGCAGCAGTCACAGCTTTAGTGAAGCAGATGGAAGTGAAAAAAAGGCAGCACCTTTGTTTTGCATTCTGATGTTTCCATGGCTTTTATCAGCAATAAAGACCCTTGTTTTGGCACTTCCTTGCAGTGAATGTTTGGCTGTCTTCAGCTCTTCCAAGTGGCAATTTTTTTGCCAAGAAATGCCCAGAAGGGAGGTCATGGTTGAATTAAATACTGTTTCTGGGGTACTGGGCTTCCACATGGCTAATGAGAAGCCTTAATACAGAGAGCTGTTCAAAATCCAAATGGAGTCAAGCAAGGAGAGAGAACTATAAAATAGTAATTATCCTTGCTGTGCTGGAGTGATGTTGCTTAAAAATGTGAAACCGAGGGCTGGGCCGAGCACTCGAAATTCTTTCTTTTGGTGTCTGTACCTATAGTTTCATATATGTATAAAAATTTTTAAAAAAACATTAAAGTAAAAAATATATAAATTAAAAATTCCTGGAAGTCCCTCCCCTTCCTTCACTTCCTCAGCCCATAAAAGACAATGCAACTATTAGTGTTTCATGTGGGGATAGGAAAGGGGAGAAAAAATAGCTGGGAGAACATCAGAAACAATTGCAGCTAAGCTTATGTGCATCAAAATAAATTCCAGAAATGTGCCTGAAAGTTGTATGTAAAAGCTTTGATTCTGATTGTGCTTGCTCCACTGTAAATGCAATTAAAGCTCTACTGAATCAAAGGAAATAGTTGATATTTATGATGACATTATTGAGAACACATTGTGGCCCGAAAGAAAATCCAACTGTGCTTCAGGGAGAGGGGCCTGGCCTTGCAGATCTGTGTACTCTCAGCAAAGACATCTCTGTCAATTTAGGAGATGATTGGTGGGAGTCTTGGGACACAGCTCTGCAAACCTTTGATTACAAGTAGTCTTCTTGAAGACAAAAATCACTGATTCCTTATACAGAATATCTCTAAGGCACAGTAATTCATGTAAGTGGGAATTTGCTTGCAAACTGCTTTTGTATCTGTTCATCAAAAAAATCTGAAGATATAGCTACGTCTGTGCAATTTGGTAGCTCGATATAGTTGTGTTTCTCTAGCATATTATGGCAGCAAATCTGTAGGAATGAAAAATGGAAAATATTTGGAGCAGAGGTGCATAGATACCTTAGCCATAGCCTACAAAAATCTATCACTAAATGAGTGTGACAGAGCTTGCAGAACTCTTTTGACTTGCTGCTTGCCTTGAAGGAACTTGACAGTTTAGTTCTGGGAAAGATGCTTTGTGGTTAAACAGTATGAGATGCTTGGATAAAGACTTTCTTCTCAGGCAGAGTGCTAAGCAACACTCCCTGAGACTAGTTTGTGGATACAGCGTTATCCGAATGCATGAGAAGGTGTCCTGAATTTAAAATTAATGTTGCTGAAGAATTCTATTTAAAAATCTGTGTCATGAGATGCTTCTTTTGTAGGGGTGACATCTTTGATGAGTATGTGTGGACATGGCCTGTGACTATTGGTGTAGCTTGAGAGAACCATGGACCTGAAATGTAATTCTGAATATATTTTTTAAACTGCCACATACCCATTAGGAAAAAATACTTTGACGTATTGTATGCCTGAAATGAGGAAGTTGTGTTCACAAGCCATCTTGCTTCTGTCTCATGAATGCTGTTCTGCTTGCTTGTGAGATTTGATGCTGTCTAGCAGACTTATTTATGCCTTTGATTATAGTGCTGTCTCTCAGCTTGTCATATAAATTTAATTGTGATGGTACCGTGGTTGTCGTCGTTTGAAATTATGGACTTGTTCACATAGGCGAAAGTGATCCTTCACAAGGCCTGATGATGTGCACAGATGTTTTGGCAGCTGCTGAGACCACACCTGCTTCCATTTGTGTGCAGAGGGACCTGACCCTTTACATGTCAGGTGGGGATAAAACTGTTCCACTATATCCTTGTTGTGTGTTTGATGAGACTCCTATTTGCTCTAAGCAAGAGTGGTGTGATGAGAATTAATCTTCAGAATTTCTGTCCTGAGCTTCCATTCTCTGTAACACAGGTTGTGTGTTTTTAATTAGATTGCACTTACCTGCCTTCCTGAAGGTGGTTTCATCTTTCAGGATGCCCAAAACTACAGACCAGGGATGAGGGAGCACAGGGAAATGAAGGGATTTGCTGAAGTTTGGGTGGGAAGCTGGTGGCAGAGGCAGAAGGTGAGGCCTCTGAGGTCTGCCCTTCTCTTTCACTGTGGGATCTGCTGCAGCTGGACGCTGTTGAGGATGATAATCATGGGAAGCACATCTGAGCTGCTGGAGGAGGACCAGTCGCTGTCACTCTGGTCAGGGCTTTTCCTTTTCGAGATTGTGGAGGGATTCTAAAACCAGAGTGGGAAGAGAGGGCTGGGTAGAGTGCAGAGTAACCTGGTTTACAGTGCAGATAGCCTTTACTGCTACTCTTGGTGTCCCTTTTTAATGTGTACAGGGCAGCTCATGAAGGAATTGCAAGGACTATTTGAGGCACTGAATATTTTGTGGGTTATTAATGTCAGTAATCAGCTTTCCAGTGCTGGAGCTTTATCTAACAGATGCTACAAAAAAACAAAACAAAAAAAACCTTAATAAGCTTACTATGAGCAGTGATGTCTCAGCACCTGGGAGACTTGTGTATTTATTTTTAATGAACTATGGAGTTTCTCTTTAGTATTTGTTATGGCCCTCTGCCCACTCAAAAACCCTTTTCTTTAGCAAATGGGCAGGGCCTTTTTGGGCTGACTGGAGAAACTACTGTTTTGGAAGATAGACAGTAGCATACACATATGTGATGTTGGTTGCAAATACAATCTCGAGCATCAGCTGAAGCTGATATGAGCAAGTTCAGATTTGCAACTGCTGTTAGGAGTGCTTGGATGAAGTATCAAAAAAGATCTGCAGTTTCATGTCTAGGCACTTTTTCAGCCTGTAGAGTGCTTATGTACGGTCTCCTGCATTGTGAAGAATCATCTGATAGTGCTGGGTGAAAGTGAGTAGGGTGCTGGTACTTGCTGGAGCTGCGTGTACTATTCCCTGTGCTTACAGGAAATTTGCACTAGGTGGAATTTGCACTAGGTGGAATGATTGTACAGAATCATGAATGATGTCTTTCCAGGTAGATATGGATGTTTGCACTTTTTACCAAGGGTGGTAAATAAATAAATAGGCATTAGAATCCTTGGTGCCTGACAGAAAATTGTGGGATGATGCTGTAACTGCTAAATCAAGCGATTTTGGCAAATCATTTAAGGCTTTCTTGAAGAGCCTTAAATGTAATGCGACATGTGAGTTATTAATTGGCTTTGTGAGCTCTTTGGTTTAATGGCAAAGGACTGGATTTTAAGGCTTTTGCTTACTTTGGGGAGGAATTACTTTTACATTACTTTATTGAAAAGGATACATCAAAGAATTAACAGCAGTGAAGTACAGGAAACTGGTTTTTACTCCTGGAGAATATTAGTTTTGCTTGCACTGCAGCTCTGGACCAGGATGATGGATACATCTAGGTTTTTGTCACTGTGTTTCAGGTCTTAGTACGTTAGCCTGTGTTCCATGTGGATTATGTGGTGCTTGCAGCTAGGCAGTCTGTAGGAGACAAGCAGATCACATGGATTATACTCTCGTGATTGTAATGTGGTATATTCTCTGTCTATCAAAAATCTCTAGAACAAACTTCAGATGGGATTGTGCTGTAGCAATTGTGAAATTGCTGCAACTATTGATGCAGGAAAAAAACGAGAGCGCTACATTCTTCCAGTCCTGCCAGCAAATAAAGTATCTTAGTTTGTAATTTAGTATTGTTCATGGAATACATATACGTAGCAATAAGATCGCCTTGCCAGTCTGTCTTTTTCTCATTATCTGTTCTTTTATTCCCAGGCTGGTCTGGCACTGTAAAGCCTGCCAGGCCCTGAAACTAGTTTTAAGGAAATTAGTGTGGATAATTGTACTGCTTCAATTTTCTTGTAGCAAGCAGTAGAGGTATTTTCTTGATTGGAAAAAAAAAAAAAATTAAAATATGGCCAGAGAGGAAGTCAGAAAATTACCCTTTGTCTGAGACAAACTCTGTTACTCTGATAGGAAAATTGTGTAGCATGAGCCTCTGTTCTGATTTAATGCAGCTGTAATGTCCCAATCTCTAAACCTGTAATTACAAGACTGTGAGAAATGAATTGATGTGGACAATAGTTAGGATATTAATTAAAATGCTGTGGATGATGTGGGGAACATCAAGCCTTATGTGCTTTAAACACAGAAACTGATTCAAAAGGCCTTGAATTTTCAGTCTTGGATCTTGTTTCTTCTTTTGGATGCTCAAATAAGTGTAAATTGCTTTACAGGGCACAAGATAGTGAAAATTCAGGTATTAATGGTGAAATGTTCATTTTGGTAGGATTAAAGTGATTTCAGCTGGCCTGTTGCTTTTCAGACATGGAAAGCAGAAAAAAAGGCCTGTGTTGAGCAATCTGAGATTAACCTCTACATTTCCTAGGAGAATTTAATCTTTTTTTTCATGTCAATATCTTGTGCTCATGTAACTCAAATTCTTTCCCACAAAAATATGGATGTAGTAATTCTTTATTCCTCCTTGGGATTAGAGGTTGACCAGGTGAAGAACACTGAGCAGCTGGGGATGGGGCTCCCGTGTGTGTCTGGTTCTCAGTTTTGCAGATCCTATAGCCTTTAACACATCAGTGGCATTCCTTTTTTCCTCTTCTTATTACATTTCCCATGAGAAGTTTTACAATGATGGGAAAACTCTCACCTCTGTTGGTAGCTGCAGGTGTTGGAGCCCATTCATTTGAAGCACATTCATTTGAAGCACATTAACAGCAGTGAGTGATCACAGGTAGGATGAGCATGCAGAGCTCTTATTCCAGACTGCCTCAGTACAGCAGTGTGTGTTTTAGGTTAAAGTGGGAAGGGGGTTACTCACCTGGGCAGGGTTGGACCCCTAGGCAGCTCATCCCTCTCTCCAATTGTGGAAATAGTGGAATAGATGCAGTTGTTTTCTAGGCACTGGATTTGTTAAGCATCAGTGCAGAGGTGTCTTTCACTTGGTGGGAGGCTAACTGTGGAAACTCAAGCAGAATTCAAGTTCAAGTGCTTGAAGATTCACAGCCCTGAAGATCTCACTGTCTCTGAAATTTTTGCCCATTCAAGATCTTCCAGAGTTCGCCCCTGAGAGCTTGATCAGTATTAGAAGTGTGTCAGGCGTGACCCTAATGGAACTTCCACATGCCTGAAGCCTAAGGACTTGAAAGCCTTCTGATCTTTTATTGGCAAAAAGTCATCTGTTTGAAGTCACTTTCTGTTTAGCAGTTGTTGTTTTGTCCAAAATTCCAAAGAAACTGCTTCTACTGAAGCAGCATTACAAGAGATAGAAAGCCAAACCCTGTTGCTTGCATTGTCTCAGCATTTCCGTGAGATTGAAAGAAGTCACCAGACCAAGTTGGTTTTCTTTACAAACAAATACTTTTTTACTTTCTTAGTGTAATACTTGTTTTATGGCTGATGCCTTTTTGCCAGGTTTTTACTGGTTTTTACTCAGAGGAGTAAAAAGCCGTAAGTACTGGGAGTGGGATAAAGAGAACAGAACTTGTGATGGAAATGTGCAGTGGGCCACAATTGGGCCATGCTGTCACTGCCATCTGCACAGCAGCAAATTGTAGTCAGATCAGAGAATATTGTATTTCTTTCTGCGTGGCTGACTTTCTTACATTTAGTGGCCAGTGTTTGTCTTGTTACCTTTGTTTGGAAACAGTGCCAGATAAAGAAGAGACTTATGAGGGCATGGGCTGTTGAGGTTAAAGTCCTGTATTAAGAATAGAAACCACCTAAGTCTTCCTTTTGTCCCCTTTGCAGGAGACAGACGCTTGCTGCAGGTTCCCTGAATGTCACAGCAAAGTGGCAAGCCATGCCCAGCCTTTTGGGAAGTGGTGAAAAGGCATTTGGCATTGGCAGTGTTCTTTGGCATTTCTTGTCTTTGAAAACACACTGCTTGAAAACTTCTGATAATATTTGCCTGGAAGAGGAGGATGTGTTTCAGTCAAATGATAAGAGGGGAGGGGCTGCTCTCAGGGCTGAGTGTGAGACACCTCCCTTGTTAGAAATGGGAAAAATAGATGAAAACAGAAAATGGAAAGGCACTCGTCATACTGACAAATTTGGCCTGAGGAAGCCAGCTGAATAAAAGCTGTCAGGGGAGGGGATGGGAAACTGTTGGAGCAGGAGGGAGCAAGTGTCAGTGCAACAGGCTGTGCTGCTGGGAGGAGGCTTGCAAAAAATGGAAAAGAGGGTGTAGCTCTTGTTACTTTCAAATTCCCTTGTCTGCCCTCCCTCTTGCCTGGGAGCTGTGTTCCCTGTCTCCCTTCCACTACCAGGCTGCTTGCCTGGAAAGGGCTGTGTACCAGCTGCCCCTGCTGCAGGGGCTCATGTGGTGGTGGTGGTCCCCTGACAGTGAGATGCAGCTGGGAGGAGAGGGCTGGGGCAGGACCTGAAGTGAGGTTTGCATTACTCTGGGAAAGGGTAAACTGAGAGGGAGGAAGACATCTTTGAACTTCAGTGAGAGCTGTCACACGTCTCCAACATGAAGATGCAGTGAATTAATGACCCTTCCCTGGAAGTGAAAACGCTAGCTGTATGCTTTGGTGGTGAAAAAGGTTAAACAAAGTGTGTTACCTTTACTGTCTTCAAGCTGTCTTGAACTTTCTAGAGAAGGACTCTGTAAAGGCTCTCTCCCTGTGGGGATGAACTTCAAAGATCAAGAATCCTGAGTGGAGGAATAAAACAACCTGTCTGGTGCTGCAAACTTCCCACTGAGGTGGCAAGAACTATTCTAGTCAGGCAGAAAATGCTTTGGGCACCAAGTGCAGCAGGTTACTGATAACATGGCTGG